GAGGGAGCGCACAGGCAGCACTGTGGTCAGGCGCCCGTCCCCGCACAGTTCCTTCACCGGGCTACACTACCCACCTTCCACACTGAGTCGGATGTCCAAGGCTGTCTCTGCCTCTGTCCAATAAGTACCTCTACATTCGAACATCATGTCTGATCCTGCTGGCTGTGGTTCCTGCCAACCCAGTTTTCCGTGTATGAGTTACTCTGCCTCTGATTTGCTGGGTGGCCTCAGAGAAATCACAACACCTCTCCGGGCCTCAACTGGGAAATGAGGGCTCTGGACCCCACAGTTGCCAAGTTGGAGGGGTCACCATACCATCTAACAACAGAGTCTCAGCCTGAGTTGCTCAGGGTCTGATAAAGCCAAGAACTAGGGAATGGTTTAGGACTATATTCTCCCATAAAGAGTTAGATGAAGGGGCTGGGGATTTAGCTCAGCGGCAAAAGCGCCTGCCTGGCAAGCGCAAGGTCGTGAGTTTGGTTCCCGGTACTGGAAACAAAACAAAACAAAAAAAAAAAGTTAGACGAAAATAAATAAATGTGTTAGACTGAAACCAGGTAGGAATTGGGAAGGCCCTTGGGTATTCCACACCATGCCCTTACAGGACAGCAGTTTGAAAGAGCTCATACACACTGAGGCTGACTTCCTGGGGAAGACTGATTGTCATTCTGGTTGACTGTTATGCACACGAGCAACCCCAGTCCTCAGCGACACGAAACAACTCGTGATTCTACGAGTCAGGAATTTGTGGGGCTGGGGATTTAGCTCAGTGGCAAAAGCGCCTGCCTGGCAAGCGCAAGGTCATGAGTTCGGTTCCTGGTACCGGAGAAAAACCAAAAAAAAAAGGAATTTGTGAGTCAGGTCCTACTGAGTGGTTTCTCTCTGGCCCACACGGTATTGGTTTGGGCAGCTGCTGGTGGGGGGATCTATCTCCAAAGGAGGTCACTGATGTGGCTGCCTGATCCCTCTTCTCACTTGCTGTCACATCTGCAGGGGCCTGTTGATGTGGCTCACTGGTCTTCCTGACAGCAGAGGAGCTACAAAGCGTGTTGGGTGTTAATCTTAGATGTCTCAGGACACTGCTCCCACTGCGTTCCCTTATCATTAAATTACCCCAAATTTGAGGAGAAGGAAATAGTAGACTCCTCTTTTGGGTGGGTGAAGGTGTGTGCTTGGGCAAGATGGCTGCCATCTTGGAGAGAAGTGACCAACATAGATTGAGGTATATCAGTTCTTTCCTGGCCTGGAATCCTTTCTGGTACGAGGGAGCTTGTTGCTACTGGTAAAAGCGCACATGGCCTGAGACAGGAAATGTTTGGCTTTTCTGTTGATATCACAGAGGGAATTATTGAACTAGAGCCTAGGCAGTCACACTTGTGTGTAGAGGTCCATCTTGATGGGAATTTGGCCCTACTGATCAATTGGTAACTAACATCCACTCAATTACTTGAATTACTTTTTTTCTACACTGTGATTATTGAAAATTTGAAAGCACAGAGACACTGTTATGAACATGTT